GAAGAAGGCGTTGCCGCTCATGATGACGCTGGCCAACATCTCCCAGGCCAAGCGATGGGGGAAAGCCGGGCACACACTACTTGCCCTCCTTCCGATCCCCCCTTCTGCAATGTCTGCCGTGGAGAAGGTGATGCTCTTCCAGCGTTGCGTTATCACCGTGCTGCAGCCGCTTCTTGATGGCATCGCCAGGTTCGTACTCGGTTTGCATCTTGCTAAGACATCATCTCACCACCTGCATGGTATGCAAACCCTCTCTGTATGTAGCATGGCCCTTTGCCTCTCGTCGTTCCTCCCTAAAAGCCGTAACCCGAATTCCTGTTGCCACTCTACCTGTTCCTTGCAGCGGGTTCCGTCTCAGGGACCCTTTCGGTGATTGGCAAACCGTGCGGCCCCTGCTGTACGCCTGGGTGTGCGACTACCCCGAGAGCGGCAAGATCAGTTGCACACTCTTGCATGGATCGCGGATGCCGTGCAGCATCTGCTATGCTGCAAAGGTGAGGTCACATGCCATCTGCACGCATTCAATTACATTCTCGTTTGTGGGTCACCTGATAGAACCCACATAGCTACCACCCTTACCTTTTCTATCCCATCCCTCACCCCCGTGCTACAACAGGAGCATCTGAGTGCTGTCAAGGCACGGAACACACCGCGCACGCCTGAACAGCAGCAATGGATCGTTAACGAGGTGGCTGGGACGACAACTAGCCAGGCTGACCCGTGCAAGGCCTACTCTACCTACCCTGTTGATGTGAGTGACCTGTTTCCCCGGTCCATGAGTAGTCTGTCCTCTGCCCATCATGAACTCACCCCACTTGTGGTTTAGGTTAGCTATCCACTCTCACGTACATCTCTCCTCCATTCCCCACCACATCCTCATTTCCAGTACGTGCTCTGGAAGTGGGATGTACCAGGGACCGCGTGGGGCAATCCCTACCTCGTGGTGATGCCTGACATCATGCACGAGGCGAACCTGGGCATCATGAGCCACATTGTGGCTGTCGTGCGCAAGATGAAGAAGCAGCGTGTGAAGCAGATGGACAGGTCAGTGTTTTGGGGATTGGATTCGTTGCTCTTCGTCACATTTACTCAAACCATAAGTTCTGTCCTATTACTGACATGTTTCTGCCCTTTTGTCACCGCTGAACTGATGTGTATGGGCAGGCGCCTGTCTCTCATTCACGACCACACGCGCCTGAATCACATGCGCCTGCCGGAGAGCGCCTACTTCGAGACCGGAGCATGTGTGGCGGCCTATGAGCACAGGACCGTCATGCATGTATGAACCCTCCATTCCCTGTTGCTTGTCCTGGCCTAAACCCTCAAGCAGTCTGCTCATGCTGTCGTTGTTTGTCCCAACTCCTCACACCATCTGTGCTCACCCTCCCCTTTGCTGCTATCCACATTCTTTGCTGGTCATGGTGTTTGTTTTTGCAGGCCTGCTTCGCCAGCCCCATATGGATGCCGTTCGTGCCTATCTTGGCTGGTACATCCTGTGCTCCCAGCCTCAGGGGCACACTGAGCGGTCCCTCCGGGAGCTGAAGAAGATGACCTCTCGGTAATAATACCACGCATATAAACCCCCGTGCATGGGATGAATGCTTGGCTACTATAAATGTGCTCTTGTAGTAGGCAATCTTGTGAGGATGTTTGGTGCTAAACTTTGATAGGAAAGGATCAGGAATAGGAAAACCATATGAATAAGTAGACTCTGTGATTGCATGTGTTGTCATCTCCCACTCCCATCAGGCTCGTTGAGCAGTTGCAGGCTGCGTTTCCAAAGCAGCCATCCTCTTGGTGCCTTGTGAAAACACATCTCATGTCGCACTACGTCGACTCCATACGTCGCGCGGGTCATGTGACTGAATTCAGCACCAACATGTTCGAGCACTTGCACGGACCGTTGGTAAAGAGGATCTACCGTCGGTCCAACAAGCGCAATGTAGATGGGCAGATCATGAAGTTCCATGCTAGGCGCATTCCGGATGTGGTGCCGGTGGATGATCCTGCTGGCCGGGACACTGCCATGCGGCAGGTAAATCTGTTTAGTGCTTGAATTGCATGGATATGAATGCAGAATGTAATAATATCAATAGCATATGTTGGCAGGCGATTGAGACCGACACACGGACGCTCATCAAGGAGTCATACTTCCTCCCTGTGGAGTTACCACAAGAACCCACCTCCACCAACTGGTTTGCAAGGAAGTGGGCCAAGCAACACCCTCGTGCCCAAGCTGCCCTCAAGGATGCGCTTATGCGTTATGCAGGATGCGTCACCAAGATTCGAGTTAGTAGTTGCAAGTTTATGCAATCAACCATCACTTGGCTGGCTCGTATCATACATGACTAACATCAACTGTTATGCAGGCCCATGCATCGCTGGCAATCCCTGCAGCTGACGACGCCAGCTTCTCAAGAGTTTCTCACTTCGTTCGAGCGACCCCTGACTATTTTGAGAGGCCATGGTACTCGGATGTTGCAGTGGAGGGTGTAAGGTATGGTCGGAGAGAGGAGTGGTATGCAAGGTTGCTTCTGTTGTTCCATACAATAATACGTAGAGAGAGGGAGGAGCTGGCTTACGTTAGATATTGGAATGCAAGCGGAGAGGATACAGCAACAGGATGCCTTCGCCTCAAGTGGACGACAGGAATGTACGCGTACTCCGTGATTCCGATTGAAGCACTGCTCCGCCACGTCCATGTGGTGAAGGCATTCCACCTGGACAGTACCTATCTCCTTAATAAGTATCAAATGTGATGCATTTATCTTGTAATAAAATGGCCAGCATGTTTTCAAGCAGACACATTTTAGGGAAGTCAAAGCTTTAAAAAAATAATTACAAAATCACAACAAATCTGGCACGCTTCAAATAAACGACAATGTACTGGAGTCGCGGATTCGATCTAGACTTCGACAAACAAACGCGGTCCGATTTCATTCCGTGATTGGTCGTGATTTGGCTTCGGAACTTCGCCAACCAAAACACCTGAACTGTACCCCCCTTCGAACCCCCTTTAAAAACCAAGGTTTTTTGTGATGTAATTAGAACTAACTACATGATTATTAGCTAGCCTAGATTTTCGTCATCTCTTTGGTTTACGTCGACGAAATCGTGGTCAGGTTTCTAGATTTCGTTTTTTCTTTCCGCTGAATCTCTCTCCTTTCTTCTCGCTACTCTCACCTGCCACGGTTCCCACAACTCCTCGTAATCCAGGTGCTCAAGTATGTAGTCTATTTTTCTTTGCACTAGTAGATCTACATTTTGTTTCTTTCTCTCTTTCGTCTCTCCCGTTCCTTCCGTATGTTTTCTTCAGTTACTTCTATATCCAGGCGCTATCTTATTTGTCTTCACCGTTTCCCTCCGTCAATGTCTCTCTTTGGTTTCCTTTCTTTTATCCTCTCTCTGTCGTCGTTCTGTTGGTGCTTGGCACGCTGGCAACTTTTTGCTCGTGCCAGGCGCGCTAAGGGAGAGGCGACACCACCACGCTCTTCATCTCCAGGCGTGCTATCCGCGGCTGCTGCAGCAACGGAGTCGGCAGAATTTGGGTGAGAGAAGAGCGTGGGAAAGAAATAAAATGAGAGAGGGAGTGGGAGAGAGAGTGGAGGAGAGAATGAGCGTCGAAAGAGAGTAAAAGAGAAATAATTCTTTGTCTGTCTTTGATTCTTTGCCTATTTTGTTGTAGCATTATGTTGTATTCATTGATCAACTTATGTCGCTTTTGAAGGGCCGCAGCCCAAGATGCTACGTCGTTCTGAATTGTTGCAGCCCATTTTGAATACTACATAGGTTTTTTTTTTAACCCTGGTTTATTAGACTCTCTAAGTCTTGTTCGTTCTCTCTCTTTCTCTCTCTCTCTCTTTATCTCTCTCAAGCGGTCCTTGTATTGATATAACGGGTAAGTACAAACAACCAAGGCAGCAAAGAAACAGGCAACACTAGAAACTAAAAACAGCCTAGCAGGAAATCAAATCCTAAGGACAACCTACAACCCCACCCAACCCCCTCCCCCCCCCCTCCCCAAAGCCAGCTCCTAAGGAAGCTCAACAGTAGGCTCGAGCACCGCAAAACAGTCCCCTAGGGACATTTCCTCGCCAGAGGCCCCGACAAGAGGGTTCTGGGCCTCTGCTGCCAGGTTGCACTTGGCCATGTAGCTTACGGCCTGCGCTCGCTGAAGGGCGACCGACCATCTCTGGCGGAACTGGTTGAGAAGTTTTGCCGCCTGGTAGGTTGAAGGGTCGGCGTTGAAGAACCTGCGTGCAGCCGTGTGAGCCAAGAGCTTGAGGAAAGCGGGGACCTCTGCGCATGGGCAGCCATAAGTCTCGACTGCAAGGGGTACGAATGATACGTAGGCTGCTGGGGAGCCGCTATAATCTGAGATTTTTTTGTCAGCGGCTTCTCTGGCAGCCCACCCCCTCCCTTTCACCGCATTGGGGTCGCGCTTGCTGATGGGGTCAGTGATGGTGACTTCCCCGATCCACACTGCCCCTGAGGACCGATCACGAATGGCTAGGTCCGCTGTCTTCCTAGTGACCGGGCAGAACTCCGCCGTTTCCTTGTGCACCATGAACCCGGCGTACTGTGCCATCCTAATGCACTCATCCCTCAGCTCGCTGTGAGTATTTGTCCTTCCCCCTTCTGTGGCGCAGCGTAGCAGATGGTTTGGAAGCCGTTTGTCTGGGATGGGAACCTGTTTGGTGCAGTCACAAACGCCGGGGGCTGAAAATGGTAATCCTAGCCGGAACTGGAAGGCTGTGGCAAAGTGGGGACCGTCAAGCCTCATGGAGGGCATTAGCGGAACAGCATGGAGCCAGTCCCCAGCTCCGTACCCTGACAGAGAGAGAAGTCGCTGCGTATGGCCGCTATTGGGGTTTGGGGTCATGCTCCGTGTGCTCTCCACCTGGTTAGCATATCTCCTGCCCTGAATTGCCAAGGCTAGCCCCTGCTGCAGCTTCACACCCGTGGATGCAGCCCTGTCTCTCTGCAGTAGCTCCCTTGCATCACTTGGTAGGTCTGCCTCGCACCGAGCTAGCCAGCGGCAGAGGACGTAGGAGTCTGTATACGGCCCCATCATCTGCACCCGTGTCTCCGTTCTCTCTCTCTAATCCTCGTTCTCTTGTTCTCTCTTTCTCGTTCTCTCTCTCTCGTTCTCTCTCTCTCATTCTCTCTCTCTCTCTCTCTCTCTCTCTCTCTCTCTCTCTCTCTCTCTCTCTCTCTCTCTCTCTCTCTCTCTCTCTCTCTCTCTCTCTCTCTCTCTCTCGCTTGCTCGCTCTCGCTCTCGGTCTCCGTTGTTCTCGCTCAGCGTATTTGTTATATTCTCTTCGTTTGTTTACTGTCTCGTTTTGTGTTTTTCCCTTTGTTCTCGTTCTTTACTTTCGTTTTATGCCTTAGTACATTTTTCTCCTTGCTATTTGTCAGCTCTAACCCTTCAATGCTCACGGCGTTTTTCTTGGCCCTTGTATTGTTTCATTTGTTTCTTCGTTATTCCTTTTTCTCGTTATTTCATTATGCCTTGTTATTTCCCATTTGCCTTCCCTTCCTCAACCCAGCTTTGTCTTACTTTCCAGGCAGTCGAGCTCAATATGAGAAGTAGACTGATATTGCTTGTGACTTACAGTATAGGATACATAATGTCTTGGTGATTTAGGTTTCTATTTCATCTACGATTAATATGCTTTGTCAGTTGGCTTCGTGCGTACGTGTATGTGTGAATGTGTATGATCATGTGTATGTGTTATGTTGTGTGCGTAGGTGTTTTCATTCATGTTTCCATTGCATTAATAACACATGTCTGTGGGTTTTAAAAATTGGGATCAAACTATCATTTCCAAGACGGTTCTTTGCGCACTCAGTGAGTGTGTCCATTCGAACTGGATTTGGTAGAATAGACCCTTTTTTTTAGATCACACAGATTGTGTTGTTTCATGTAACAGTTGGATGATTCAGAAACTATGCTATTGAGCTCCCCCCCATGCTAGGCAGGGGATGCGGTAGCATAGGGTCTGCGTCAATTAACTGTTACGCATTTCCATCATCCTATGCATTAATTTCACTACCGGTAGTATATGCATTATACTTATGCATTTGCATTTACTTCATCTACGTATAACAGCATCAGACATGTGCATCACGGAATAAACAGTTACGCGTTCACAGTACATCATTTTGGCAACTCATTAAAAATAGGTTCAGTCAAAGCAAACTAGGAAATGAGAAGAAATGTGGTTCAGCACGTGGTAAATTGACGTGGCAAATACATAACAGTCAGTCACTTAGCTAGTAACGTTCACTAGATTTTTTCCATCCTTTATTTTTTTGAAGTATAGAGGATTGAAATAAAAATCGTACATAACGGTTGTAATAGGTTGCTTCGCAACCCCAAAAAAAAAACACACACACATACACACAAATAGGATGGCGGTTATATTGTGTAAGGCACAAGTATGCGGCTATACTCCGTAAGCCTGCAAGTATGCGCTTATAATCGAGGACGGGATATAAGCGCCATATGCCAATTATAAGCGCCTGGCGCTTATCCCGTGGGTGTGCTTATATCCGGGCAGTGGCGGTAGTTTCATTTAGTTACCAATTGTGAAAGCTCACTCAATCCTCTTGCAAAGGCAGCGTGCTTCATTCCAAATGGGTAGTACATCGTTCTCGTCCATAGCAATGATACACAATAGCGTGGGTGGCGGGAAAGTAGAACTACAATTAGAAATGAAGAACGTGGGTGAGGCAAATAGCCTCATGTCCTTATTTTGTAGACAAAAAGAGGGGTGAGTAGTGTGAAGCAAGGAAAACAGGAATGAATTAACTATGAAATGTGTGAGTACAAGTACCAACCCTAATTGGGTTGTACCCCCTATGGGATACCCCACTATAGCCTACACAACAGCATAAGCTATAATGTTCTGACACACCCCCATAGGCAAAGTGGGGGAGAACAAGGGGTCAGAAGACCAGTCAAGCAAAGCAAAGAAAGCTCAGGGTGGATCACAAAGTCACCACACAGTCCGAGCACAAGAGCAGGGCCAGAGGCCAGTTCACATGCAGGAGTACAGACATATATATAAAACTAGACAAGCAAGAGCAGGTATATATATATGTCACAGTACAAGTGAAGTCAAGAGGAGAGCAAGTGAGGCAAGACAGGTACAAGACCCAGCTGGGTGCAAAAGCGCTGATGGTCACAAGGCGCGAGTGCCTTGGTGAACACATCAGCTGTGTTGGCCTCAAAGGCCACGTACGCAAGTCGCAACTGACCACGCTGCTGCAGCTCACGAGCAAGGAAGTAGCGGAGAGCAATGTGCTTCGTTCTGTGCTCCAAGCGCTGCTCTCGACACAAGGCCAGCATGGCCTTGTTGTCTACGTACAGCACTGGAGGAGAACGAGGCGGCTCTCCAAGGTCAGTCAGCAGGTAGGTGAGCCAGCGAAGCTCCTGTGCAGCCATGGCCCCGGCGTAGATCTCAGCCTCACAACTGGAGCCGAGAACCGAAGACGAGCGAGTAGACCGCCACGAGACAGAGCCGGAACCAAGGCTGAAGGTGTAACCCTGTGACGACCGCTGCGTAGCCTGGTCGTCAGCCCAAGAAGCGTCCGCATGGCCGGTAAGGACCACTGGACTCCGCCCTCCAAGCACTAGCCCCATGCCCGACGTACTGCACAGGTAGCGCAATACCCTCTTCGCTGCAGCCATGTGCTCCGGTCTGTGTCTCCCAGGAGCAACATAGCGTGCAAGAATACTCAGAGGGTATGCAAGGTCAGGTCGTGTGCAGGTCATCAGGTACATGAGGCAGCCAACAAGCTCTGCATACGGACCACTCGACTCTACGGACTCATCCGAAGGCAGAGCTGAGAGTGAGTGGCGAGTAGGCAGAGGAGTGGCCTGAGGCGAGGAGTACGTGAAGCCGAAGCGCTGAAGGACCTGCTGCACCATGTGTGACTGAGTCAAGGTAATGGTGCGGCGTGCTCTGTCCCGAGTGATCTGCAAGCCAAGGTAGCTGCGCAGTTCACCCAGGTCTGTGCACGTGTGTCTCTTCAGCAGCTCGGACTTCACGTAGGCGAGTCCAGCAGTGTCCGCTGTGGCAAAGACCAAGTCGTCGACGTACACGAGGATGTAAAACGGCGGCAGGGAAGTGTCGGTGCGAAGAAACAGCGACGGGTCAGCAGTAGAAGGAGCAAACCCAAGAGCCGCAAGCGTAGTCCTCACTGTGTCGTGCCACTCACGCGGTGCCTGGCGGAGACCGTAGACTGGTCGTCGAGGCTCCACTGGGTGCCAGGAGGGAAAGTCCCAGTGAAGCCAGGTGGACGGCGAAGCCAGATCTCCTCGTGCAGGCTACCCTGCAAGAACGCAGTGCTGAAGTCGAGAGAGTGAAGCTCGTAGTCGCGCTGAGCGGCTATGTGCAGCAGCACCCGAAGAGTAGTCATCTTCGGGGTGGGAGAGAAGGTCTGAAAGTAGTCAACTCCCTGCCGCTGACTGAAGCCACGAGCAACGTACCGTGCCTTGAAGACAGGTGGAGAGCCCGGCGGCCGCTTCACCCTGAAGATCCACATGCCACTGACGATGTTCGCCCCAGGAGGGGGAACAGCGTCAATGTAGGTGCCTGTGGACTTCCAGGAAGCCATCTCTGCATCCATAGCTGCCTGCCACTGAGAGGAGTAGGGACCCTCTACGGCCTCCGCGTAAGAACGCGGAGTCGGGATGTCTAGTGCATCCGGGTCTCCCTCAGGGGCAAGCAGTACAGATGGGAGATGAGGTGAAGCAGCCGCTAGACACTGTAACTCCTCCTGCCTGTCCTCTAGGACGTCCGTGCCAAGAGCACACTCACCCCCGACGGACGGAGGACAGACAGACGCAGACTCAGCAAAAAGACTAGCAGCGTAGTCGAGACGACAGCGAGCAGCAAAGTCGACGAGCTCAGCGACAAGAGCAGACGCAGCAGTGGACTCAAAAGAGGGGTCAGTGACGACAGTAGCAAGCAGACGCGTGACAGAAGGACTGGCAGCACGAAGAGAGTCCGACTCAGGGTCGGCAAGCGCAGGAAGAGAGGACTCAGGAGGAGAAGGCAAAGGGGCACGCAGAGGAGCAGTGGACGGACGCAAAGACATCCGGTGCGTGCCAGGGACAGGAGGAGGACGCTGACGCGAACTGCGACCACTAGCGCGAGCAGCACGAACAGGCGACGCGGGACGAGACGCAGGCTCACGACGCTCAGCAAGACCTCCAGTAGGACCAGTGTAAGGAGAGGGAGCAGGCAGTGGAGAGGAAGGCTCCAGCTGGGACTGTGACTGGACAGGCGGTGGACCCTCTACTAGATGAGAAAGACCAAGAACCTGCTGCAGGAGCGGAACGAAGTACGGCCGAGGCCGCGCGGCAGCTCCAGACTCAGCAGGGACAGCACCAGCACCCTCAGCGACAGTACCAGCGCCACCCACACCTCCAGTGGCAGGACCAACAGCAGGAGGCTCAGCACCAACGCCCTCAGCAGCTCCAGCTCCAGGAGGACCCGCAGGTCCAGCAGCTCCGGGACCAGCAGCACCCGCACCCTCGACGGACGAAGAAGCTCCAGCTCCAGCTCCAGCAGCACCTCCAGGCTCAGCAGCACGCCTCCAGCGGCGAGCGAACCACTCGCGCAGCTCCTGTGGAGAGAGGGGCTCCCGGCGAGACGCAGCAGCAGGAGAAACCCCAGGCTCAGCAGCTCCAGACGCAGCACCCCCAGGCTTAGCAGCTCCAGACGCAGCACCCCCAGGCTCAGCAGCTCTCAGCTCAGCACCCCCAGGCTCAGCAGCTCCCGACTCAGCACCCCCAGACCCAGCACCTCCAGGCACAGCACCCCCAGGCTCAGCACCCCCAGGCTCCGCAATCTCCGCAGTAGCACCCTCAGGCCCAGCACCCCCAGCAGTAGTACCCCCAGGCTCAGCACCCCCGCGCACAGCACCCCCAGAGTCAGCACCCCCAGGCTCAGCACCCGCAGCAGCACCAGAGTCACCAGTAACCTCGACCGGGTCAACGGCGTCTACCTGGGACACACCTGAGGGGGCAGGAACGTGAGGGGGGAGGGGGTCTACCGGGGGGGGAACCGGCACAAGGAAGTCCGGGGGAGGGGGGAGGGAAGGAGTGCGGTAGGGGAAGAGACGGTAGAAGGGGACCGACTCGTCGAACGTGACGTCCTGGGAGGACAGAACACGACGAGAGGAGGGGTGGTAAAACTGCCATCCTGGGGCGTCAGTGGGGAAGCCAAGGAAGACACAGGGAGCAGCACGAGGGGACAGCTTGTCCGCAGACAAGTCGCGGACAAACGCCCGAGATCCCCAGACACGGAACACAGACGCATCGCCAACCTTCCCCGTCCACAGCAAGGCTGGGGACATCGCAGGCCGAGAGACCCGGGGGTGAAGGTTGAGCTGATGCGCCGCGTACCTCACCGCAAACGGCCACAGAAAATGGGGGGCAGCCGCATGCATCATGGACGTACGAGCGACATCCATGACCATGCCAATGCGGCGCTCAGCAATCCCATTTTGCTGTGGTGAGTCCGGAAGCGTGAAGGTCTGGCGAATCCCCCGTGCACGACAGTAGTCCCGCAGAAGGCGAGTAGAGAACTCTCCGCCTCTGTCCGAGTGCAGACGCAGAACAGGAAAGTCCGAGCCGAAGCTCTTCCTGAGCTGGAGACGAGCCTCGCGGATCCAGTCGATCAGCACCTCAGTGACCGCACCCTTGCTGCGCAAGGGGAGGACTGTGGTGTAACGCGAGTAGTCGTCAACCACCAACAGGAAGTAGCGCTCGTAACCCTGCCCACGGACGGGAGCTGGGCCCCACACATCCATGTGAAGCGTCTGCAGGGGAGCCTCTGTCGGGGGGAAGTGGGAGGAGTGAGGAGTAGCCCGGAGGCGACCCTCGACACAGGGGACACAGGAAGGTCCTGGCCCGGAGGGGAGAGGAGGGAGAGACTGGGGAAGACCAGAGACAGGGACACGGGAAGCCATGCTCCGAAGACGGGGCAAGGAGGGGTGGCCAAGACGGTGGTGCCAGAGGAGAGTCTCGTGAGACAGGAGGCGACAAGAACAGGGGGCAGACTCAGGACCTGACCGGGACGCAGCAGCAAGCACCTGACCTGACGCAGCCACCTGACCAGACGCAGGGACAGGAGGAGACTCAACTGTCAGGGTGTAGAGACTCGACCCAGGCCGACGCGAGAACGTGGCCAGGTGGCGGCCCGTGCGTGCCTCCGTGCAGTGGGTCACCCGCTGACTCGCAGGAGTCAACTGGTGAACCCCCACATCCTGCAGGTCCGCTCCACTCACCAAGTTCGTAGAGAACGAGGGAAGGTACAGACCAGACAGGGTGCCCGAAGGGGCAGCCGGACACGGGAGGACAGTGGAGAAGTGAGACAGGACAGGACCCCCAGAGGGGTCAGCAAGGGAGACCGCAACCGGTCGGCCGAGCGGCGTAAGGGTAGTGTGGTCCCGAAAGAAGGAGCGAGAAGCCCCGGAGTCAAGTGAGGGAGGACGAGGACGACGAGGACGACGCAGTACCTGAGAGCGCAGTCTCACCAGTACCTGAGAGCACAGACGCACTGGCACCTAGAGCAGCAGCCTCACAAGCACCTAGCGCAGCAGCACCAATGCCCGGGTCGGGCTGGAAACACCGGTAACCCTCATTCTCCTCACTATAATCCACAGCATACATAGCAGCAAGGATAGCATCAAAATCAAGATCAAAGATCGCTACACCAGCCCTAAGAAGCTCATCCCAGCGAGGGATCTCACTAGCCCCAGGGAACTGCCGACGCCAAGCGTCCGTCAGGCGGCCAAAGCAGCGCTGGGTGGCGTGGGCACCCCCACACTGCTCACCCGCGCGGTCGCCGGAACGAAGAACGTAGGTGCAGGGACCAGTACCCCCACCCCTCTGACGCCCAGCGTACCACTCACGAAGCTGCTGAGGCGGAGGGATGTCCCGCGAGCGCTGCTGCTGCTGCCGCTGCGAGCGCTGGCCACCACCACCGCCGCCACGCTGCTGGGTACCACCCCGACCAGCTCCACCTCCTCCACCACCACCGCCTCCTCCGCTGCCGCCTCCACCGCCTCCACCTCCGCCGCCTCCACCTCCGCCGCTGCCACCACCACCACCGCTGGCACCACCACCACCGTCTCCGCCGCTGCTGCCACCACCACCACCACCACCCCCGCCACTAGTCCCGCCACCACCCCCACTCCCTCCGCCGCCACCGCCGCCACCGCCACTGCCCCCTCCAGCTCCACCCGCGCCCTTGCCCCCCTTGCCCTTGCTAGAGCGACGTCTCCCACTAGGGGTAGACGCCGCGCCGACCTACTCAAGACCAAGCAGGTCGGCAGCAGCAGCAGAGGCAACAGAGGGCAGCAAGGGGGAAGGAGAGCACCCCTCAAAGATGGGGGTGCGAGGATCACCACGAGAAGCACCTACAGCGACTATGCTCTTCTCCGCTGCGAGGAGGGCCTTCTCGGGGAGGTCGACGGTGAGGGTGGTGGGACAGACAGCGAGAAAGTGGTCCCTGACGACGCGAAGGGAGTCAGGGAGGCGCGCAACTACGTAGTAGAGAGCGATGTACATGGGGGGGGGGTTCTTAGCGCAGAACTCAGCAGGAAGGGCAGCGCGGTAGCGAGTGTCACTAGTGCGGAGGTGCGTAATGAGGTCAGCAACAGTGGGAAAGGCAGAGAGGTCAGGAAAGAGGTAGGGAAGCATGAGACGGCTCAGTGCAGCAATGGCAGGGGAGGAGTAGCGCGCAACTACAGCGTCGTACAAGGTCTGAGCACTCTTGTACTGGCTAAAGTGCGCACGCTCAGAGGTAGGGAGGTGGCGACGCACAGCAAGACGTGCAGCAGCATCGCGGGTGGCCCACTGAGAGCGGACAGAGGGATCAGCATCAGCAGCAGGAGCAGGAGAGGCGCCAGAGGTGAGGTCAAAGAGAGAAAGGTCGTCAGCCGTGTCGCACTGTAAGAACAGCTGCAGGTCGTCTAACCAGACCTCAAAATCAATGGCGCGACCCTCTGCGTCGAAAGCTAGGACACTAGGGGTAGCCATGGCGACGACAGCGACGCAGTGCAAGCAGTAGGGAAAGAGCTCGCAGTGTCAGTGGGACTGTGCTCACCAGGCAGGGCAGGTCGTGCAGCTCTGCAGAAAGGCGGCTCAGCGACCGGGCAGCTCGGGTGCACAGCGGCTCGGCTCCCGGGCGGCTCGGTGGCTGGGCGGCTGGGGCGCAGGGCGGCTCGGCTCCCGGACGGCTCGGCGGCTGGGCGGCTCGGGTGCAGGGCGGCTCGGCTCCCGGGCGGCTCGGCGGCAGGGCGGCTCGGGTCCCGGGCGGCTCGGCGTTGGGCGGCTCGCTTCCGGGCGGTTCGGCTGCTGGGGCGGCTCGGCCGGGAGATGCAGGGGCGGGGCCGTCAGGTGCAGCGGCGGGTCGACCGGTGCAGTGGCGGGCCGGCAGGTGCAGCGGCGGGCCGGCAGGTGCAGCGGCGGGCCGGCAGGTGCAGCGGCGGGCCGTAGGGTGCAGCGGCGGGCCGGCAGGTGCAGCGGCGGGGCCGTCAGGTGAAGCGGCGGGCCGCTGGGTGCAGCGGCGGGCCGGCAGGAGTAGCGGCGGGCCGGCAGGAGCAGCGGCGGGCCGGCAGGAGCAGCGGCGGGGCCGTCAGGTGAGGCGGCGGGCCGGCAGGAGCAGCGGCGGGCCGTCAGAGGCGGCGGGCCGCTGGGTGCAGCGGCGGGCCGGCAGGTGCAGCGGCGGGCCGGCAGGAGCAGCGGCGGGCCGGCAGGAGCAGCGGCGGGGCCGTCAGGTGAGGCGGCGGGCCGGCAGGTGCAGCGGCGGGCCGTAGGGTGCAGCGGCGGGGCCGTCAGAGGCGGCGGCGGGGCCGCGGCAGTAGAGGCGGGGCCGCTTCAGGGGAGGCGGCGGGGCCGCGTCAGGGGAGGCGGCGGGGCCGCGTCAGGGGAGGCGGCGGGGCCGTGTCAGGGGAGGCGGCGGGGCCGCGTTCAGGAGAGGTGGCGGGGCCGCGTCTGAGGGACAGCGGGGCCGCGAGGGAAAAGGCGACCCGAGGGGTCGCTAAAAAAAAGGCGCGCCTCGGGGCGCGCTTCGGTGGGCCCTAAAAAAACGGTCCTAAGGCAGGACCCGCTCTATACCATGTGAAGCAAGGAAAACAGGAATGAATTAACTATGAAATGTGTGAGTACAAGTACCAACCCTAATTGGGTTGTACCCCCTATGGGATACCCCACTATAGCCTACACAACAGCATAAGCTATAATGTTCTGACAAGTAGCGTTGCACCGCTTCCTTTGCTGCGCTGGCCACGTCCTCGCTTTCACAATACGAAATTTTAGAAAGTACACTTTCAAATTTTAAAATATTGTGAAAGCTCACATAGTCCTCTTGCAAAGGCAGCATGCTTCATTCCAAATGGGTCTTCTGAGGCATATGCGTTCTTGGTCGGCGGTGTCTCTCGATGGACTGCTGGTGCCTGGTGGGTGATGGGGCTGCGGATGTATCCTTCAGCTGGTTGGATAGGTTGATGAGTTGGTCTTGGGCAATTGTGACGTAGAGTTCCTTTGCACCATCGCTTCACCATCGGCCTGTTGGGTGCAAATTCACATTGCACGACATCCTGCCGTCTGTTTGTACGAGTATGCGTGTGCGAATGCATTTGCGTGTGAATGGTATGTTTGTGTGTTTGTTTGCTTTCGCAATTTTCGCTTGAAGCATTTGCAGGTACTCGCAAAATGTGCGCTTCGGCATAACATTGTACGCGCTATGAACAGTACAAGCAGAAAGGACGAGCTCGCAAAGGAACCCAAGATGGAAGCTTTGCGGTTCGGCTTACTTGATTGCGCAGATTCAGTTCTATCCAACTCGAAATTGTACTGTTTTGTTTGGTTGACTATAGTGTAGCAGGGCAGGCACTATAGGGGTACAATTTAGGTGAAGGTTGGATGTTGTTTGTCTGTATCTGCATGCTACAGGGCCAGGGGAAACCAGCGGAACCAGCATTTGGCTGGTTGGGCAAAGACAAAACAGGTTCTGTTTTTAGGACCTGAACCTGGTTGTTGTTTTCCCAGGTTGGAAAAACAGAACCAGAGGTTGTTCACCAACCTATCACCTGCTATTTTGTCCAGCCAGGTTGGTTCTGTTGCTTGGAATTATTTGGGATCATCCCTGGTTGTTCCCAGGTTGATTCCCAAGGTCCTTGCTAGCTAGAGCTATTTATTCCTTCTCTGTTTGTACCTGAATATAGTGAAATTGATTCAAGCGAATTCCTTCCTTGCTGGAATTTCTTTTCTACGCGGTGCGATGGCGGAACGCTACCCGAGTCAACGCTAGTACGCTAGCACTCCAACGCTAGGCTAACGCTGTCCGAGCCATAACTTCGTAATGGCAGAACTTTTCGCGAGGCAACTTGGCTTATTTTAAAGCTCTTAGAGTGAGCTTCGATATAGCAAATTCTCAGCTTAATCCGGTCGACGGTCTGCACGATACGCTGCGCGACGTTCAAGGTACTCTTGCTGTTTTGACTAAGTCCCTCTTGATCCCTCTCTCTACAAACTCGGACCCGAGGATAGGGGCTGGTCTTGTACCAGGCACCCAAGGACCCTTGGAGGTGACCCCGAGGAGAGGTTTTAAGTGTGATAAAGTCTTAATAGCTTGAGTTTATTAGGCCCTTACACCAACAAGCTGGTATCAGAGCTGCGTTATAGTGATCCTCGATATAGGTAGCTATGGCGGGCAACACCTCGGCGGTAGCTGGTGAATCTTCAGCCCAAGATCGTAGCGGCAGCCATGATTCTGGTGTTTCTGCGCCAAGGGGAGCGCGAACAAGCCAGGGCTCGCTGATCAAGGAGGTGCTGAAAAACTTCACCGTCGAGAAGTTCAATGGTGAGGGCTATGATGATTGGGCCTGGAAAATGCAACTTTATTTCCGTCAAATCGGATTGCTGAAACTAATGATTGGGGAGGAGCCTAGACCGAGTGACCCCGCCCTTCAGGAAGATTGGGACGAGCGCGCCTCGGCTGGCTACTACTTGATGTCGCAGAGTTTGGAGCTGAACCAGCGTCACCACGTCATGCACCTGCTGCCGGAGGCTGAGTGTGGTCCGAAGGCGTGGACGGTGTTGAAGGAGCTGCACGCCCCGACCTCCGTTGTTGCAACATTGATGCTGGAGAGGGAGCTGTCCGCGTTGCGCCTGAGCGAGGGAGAGCCGGTGCAACCTGTCCTGGACAAATTGCGCGACCTCTACGCGAAGTTGGCGACCGCAGGAATCACCTACCCGGAGCAAACAAAGTGCTTGAAGATGCTCTCGCTGCTGCCGGAATCGTGGCTTCAATTTACGAGCGGATTGAGCCTGCCGCAGAACCAGAGCTTGTGGACGCTCGAGTGGGTGCGGACGAAGATTCTGGAGGAGGACTTCCGTCGCCGCCAACTGAGGGGTGGAGACGACGGCAGCAGCGTCTACGGGATGCAAGGGAGCCGACGTGGCAAAGGACGTGGCTTCGGTGGTGCTGGACGCGGTGCAAAGAAAGACGACGACTCCAACGACCAACAAGGAGGTACCGGTTGGGGTCGCGGTGCGAAATCTGGACGTGGGGGCAAGTCGGGTGCTGGTGGCAAAATGAAAGGGAGTTGCTGGTATTGTGAGAAGGAAGGGCATCCCTGGTTTTTGTGCTATAAGAAACCCGATGGATGGACCCCCCAGAATCGTCACCAGGATGGCGGCGCGCGGAGGAACCAGAAAAACGGCGCCAACATGGTCGCTGATTCGTCCGACAACAACCCGAAGGGCAACGGCGGTGCGGAGAAGAAGAAGGAGCGCACCGCGGGCCAATTCTTCCATATGGGAGACAAGGGGGAGCAAGGAGACGCATCTGCTAAGGCTGGAGCAGAGCTGCACCCCCTGGACTATTGGGTGTTGGACACAGGCGCTGCTTGGACAATGACGCCGCGCAAGGACCTGCTGGACGACGTACGCGCTGCACCGATTAATGAGGTGTGCTCTGCCTCTGGACACATGTTGAAGGTGGCTGGTGCGGGACGAGCTGCATTTAAGGGAGCGGATGGCAAGCCGGTGGTGCTGCACGACGTTCTCCTCGTCCCCGACCTGAAGGCCAACCTCATCTCCCTCCGTAAGCTTGGCAAGGCTGGGGTGAACACCAACACGGATGGGGCTCGCACTTATAAGGGGAAGCTGGGCAATCGGGTGCTTTGGGATCTGCACGAGAGCAAGGACGTGTACAGATCCATGTGGCAGCTGCCGGCGCTGGCGTGGCATGGTGAGGGGCAGGCTAGAGAGGGGTCTGCATCCCAGGGGGAGTGCAACGCCGTTGGAGGGGTTGGTGTGAAAGTGTCGGCCAGATCTGGGGAGACGGATTGGGCAACGGCACACCGACGCTTGGGGCATGTGGCAATGCCTTTGCTGAAGCAGCTGGAGAAGGATGGAGCCGTTAAGGGCTTGAAGCTGAACGGACAACCACCCGATGATAACTGTGAAATCTGTTTGCTCTCAAAGTTTACCCGTTTCCCCTTCCATAGTGTGGCTGGCAGGAGCAAGAAGCCGTTGGAGCTGGTCCACATGGACTTGGTGGGGCCGCTGCCGGTTCAGGGACACAAGGGGGAGCGGTACTTCCTGACCATTGTGGATGATTGGAGCAGGCTAATGTGGGCGTATCCGCTGAAGCAGAAAGATCACGCCGCCTCCACGATTCGGGACGATTGGCTGCCGTTCGTGGAGAAGCAAGCGGAGTGTGTGGTGAAGCGGATTAGGACAGATCGGGGTGGTGAGTTCCTTGGAGCTGAGATGACGGCCTGGCTCAAGAAGCAGGGCATCCAGAGGGAGCTGACCACGGCTTACACCCCACAGTCTAACGGTGTAGCAGAACGGGCGAACCGGACAATTCTGGAGACAGCTAGGGCGCTGCTCATAGAATCTGGGCTGGGCAACTCCATGTGGCCCCATGCTGTTCGGCACGCTACCGTCGCTAGGAACAGGGTACTCACAAAGGTTGGGGATGACTCGTGGGTGCCGTTGGAGAGGTGGCTTGGGAGGAAGCCGCC